CAAAGCCGCAAGCTCAGCTCGTCGCAGGGCATTTGTGACCTGGGTTTGTGCTAAGCCAGGAGAACCTGTGCTTGATAGGGTGCCATGGCTTTGCTTCTAGTTATTGCCACCGACATCCAGCCCAGGGTGCCTCCTCCATGGGAGAGGTTTAACCGAAGCTCTCCCAGCAGCAGACCGCCAAATGCTGCCCAATTGTTTAATGTCGCGGCAGCAACTGAAGGCGGAGAAGTTGAATTCACGCAAATCTGTGTCCTGATGGTGCTCAGGGACGGAGGAGGATCAAGTCTTAGGAAAAAAGGGAGCATGAACTGGGAATGAGCCAGCCTGCCCAGGGCCAAGAGACGGGGAGTACCAGGTCCCATCTCTCTCCTTGCCTCGTCCTTTCTCATTCCTCTCTCTGCCTTGGAGCCGGCCGAGCCAGCATGTTTGTGCACTGAACCCTGTGGCCATGAGCTGAGTCCTGCCACCTCGGCCCCAGCCCGGGACTCCTCGGCTGAGCCCCCTCCTCACCCGCGCTGCCCAGGGCCAAGAGACGGGGAGTACCAGGTCCCATCTCTCTCCTTGCCTCGTCCTTTCTCATTCCTCTCTCTGCCTTGGAGCCGGCCGAGCCAGCATGTTTGTGCACTGAACCCTGTGGCCATGAGCTGAGTCCTGCCACCTCGGCCCCAGCCCGGGACTCCTCGGCTGAGCCCCCTCCTCACCCGCGCGATGCCCCGGTGCCACCAGCACAAGCCTCCTCGCCGGGCTTGGAGACACGGCGCCTCTACAGCACAGCTCCACCATTGATCCCCCCTTTGCTAACAAACAGCCGCCTCTCTGGGCTCTAATTAAAATGGATCGAGGTTTATTTAAATGCCCTCCTTTCCCTGCCGCCGAGAGCGTGATGCACTTTGCTTAGCAACCGGCGGTGTGGAGAGGAGCTGGATCGATACCTGCTCCGCAGCTCTCTCACACCAACAGACGCTGGCCTGAAAGTGCCCGGCGCTGATGGAGACTCTGAGCTCCTCATCAGCGCCAAACCCGCTCTCTGACCAAGAAATGTACTCGTGGCCCCAGAAAACCTCTGGGTAGATGTGGAGGGATGGACAGACAGAGGAAGAGAAGGAGAAAGGGAGATGCAGGAGGCAGATGGGCAGGCAGACTCTGTCTCCAGCCTCCCGAATCTTCTCCTGCCTCCTCTCCACCCTGGTTGAAAGGATGGCAATGTTTGGGTGGACCCAGAACTAGACTCTGGGTCATTCAGGACAAGGTGCCCTGAGGACATGGGGCCTGTACTCACCGCATTCATGTCGATGCCGTTGGTGTAGGACCAGGCGTGCTGGAAATACTCCTCCAGGCGCTGGCGCAGGGGGTTGGGGATCTGGTGGAAGCGGATGAACTCCTTGACTCGCAGCATCTGCGTGTGGTAGCGGGCTGTGCCCGAGTACAGGCGCTGGATGATAGCAGAGACGTTGCCGAAGATGCTGGCGTACATCAGAGCTGCAACGAGAGGGCAGGGCTCAGCAGGACATGGGGAGATGCATGTCCAGCTACATCTGGAACCAGTAGATTTCCAAAACCCTTATCTACCGTGGACCTGAAACCCATGTGTTTCTGAAACCCCTGTTTCTATATCACTCCATCCATTTGTCTGTGCAGAAGAGGCATAGGCGGAGAGAGAGACTCTCTTAAAATCCCACGTGCTCTCCCCGTTTCACCCAAAGCAGCCCCTCCAACCTCCAAAGCAGGGATGGGGACAGCGGGACACGCGCAGGCACTCACAGCCGATGAGCATGACACAGATGGAGAAGATCTTCTCGGAGTTGGTGTTGGGTGAGACGTTGCCGAACCCCACGCTGGTGAGGCTGCTGAAGGTGAAGTAGAGAGCAGTGACGTATTTATCCTTGATGGATGGGCCAGAGGAGAGGTCGCTGTCATTGTAGCGCTTGCCGATCTGGTCACCCAGGTTGTCCAGCCAGCCGATCTTGTGCTCCATGTAGGGCCGCTCCACGTTGCCGATGGCGTACCAGATGCAGGCCAGCCAGTGGGCGATGAGGGCGAAGGTGCACATGAGCAGGAAGAGCACGGCTGCTCCATACTCGGAGTAGCGGTCCAGCTTCCGAGCCACACGGACCAGGCGCAGCAACCGAGCTGTCTTCAGGAGGCCAATGAGGGTGGTGGTCTGCAGGGGAGAGGTGAGAAACTTCAGGGACGAGCAGGGGATAAAGCTGGCCAAAGGCATGTCTCCAGCCTAGCCATGCTCCCTTTGAAGGATAAAAATGCATTTCTAGAGCATGAATCACCTTGTCCTGGAGGTCACATCTGAAATAGGTTAGATGAATCATGCCACAGAAAGGGCAGTTTCCCTCTGCTGACCATAAAGGCAACAAGGGATTACAGCAAGCCAGAGGAGCCAAGGCCAACCCCATGTTTCCTGATGGGTCCTCACCAACCGTTGCTCCCAAAACAGCTGCCTTTCACCCCACCCCACAGGTTCTCAGTTCAGGTGGGGCTTCCAGGTAGCGCAGTAACCACAGGGCCATCCCATTGCCAATGTTTTGAGTCTGGCTGGCAATGTGACCCCAAATTTGGGCTCGCTGGTGTGTGAGGCCAGTCCCCAAACTGAGCTCCCAGCCTGCTCTGCTGGGTCAGCCCCAGCAAGGGGAGCAGGTCCAGTTAGACACTATCTTAGCACTTACAGAAGGATCTGTGTGGCTGTCTGACCCTACTGAATAAAATCCCAAGTCCCAGCTGCTTAATAAAAACCTGTAACGACATCCTTGTCCATCCCTCTGACTAACCACCCCTCTCCATGCAGCTCTAGCCATCCACCGCTTACATCAAGCCATCCATATTCCTCTCTTTCTCTCCCATACATCTGTCCCTACCCATCCATGAGTCCCTTCACGTCCTGATGGACCTCCACGCCCTGCCTGTACCTCATCAGAGCCGGAGCGGAAGATGAGCAGGTCAAAGGGGATGGCGGCAACCATGTCGATGAGAAACCATCCCTTGAAGTAGTGGATGGCGATCTTGCCAGGGTGGCTCACCACTTCGTCGTTGATGTTGACGTAGGTGGTACGGAAGTTGATGACAATGTCCACAATGAACATGATGTCCACGATGAGGTCAATGATGTTGAGTGGGTCACAGGTGTAGCTGCAGTCCCAGTGCTTCTCCTCCACCTGCTCCTCATTGAGCAAGAAGGCGGCCGAGTAGGGGGTGAAGACGGCTGTGTAGATGACCAGCAGAAGGATGAGCCAGTCCCACACGGCCTTGAAGGGACTGTAGTGCAGAATGGTCCATCGGTGGATGCGTGGTGCCTGCAGCTTGTACTCGGGAAGGACATCAGCACCCAGGGACAGCACCTGCCGGGAGATGGGTGTGAGAAGAATGGGAGACCAGGAGAGAGGTTGGATAAGCCCACGAGCCAGGCAAGGGGCTCCCACCTGCTGGTAGGGCAGTGAGGAGCACGCAATGGGTTTCCTACACCCTTTTCACCTTCATTGCCTTCATACGTGTTTGTCCTGGAGGCCACAAGGTGAGTAGCCCACTATGGCTGACACCAAGGTCTGCCTGGCTTCTCGGCTGACTCTGATGGCCAGAGCACCCTTGGGGCAGCTGTTTACCTGCTTTATGCCATTCAGACCCTACCATGCCAGCAGAGAGGAAGGTGCCTCCGGCCATGCCTCCTTCTGCCCTCAGCTCTGTGCCACCAGCCCCGGAGCTGCTGGGTGTCCCTGGCAGAGGGCTAATGGGGATGGGCACCTTGGAGATGCAGTCCCACAGCTGTGCCATGGCTTGGCCCTGAAGGTGATGACACATTAGGCATCCCACAAGCCTTGCATGGTGCCTTTCTTGGCCCCAGCAGGGACCTTCCCCTTGATGTCCCTCTGGCACAGTCGACCTCCAAGCAGAGGGGACAGCTTGGGCCACCTGCAGCAAAGCCTGGCCTTGGGCAATGCCCATTTCCCATCTGAGCATCCTCAGGGAGGGGGTGACCTGCGGCCACCAATGTGCAAACACCATCTCATGCGTGCAGGCACCCTCCCATATTGTCATGTGTCCCCAGGTCTGTCTGCCCTCATGGGGACACGCTCCCACGGCACCAGTGAGTCCCCACACGTCCCGGGCCTGTCCCAGCTCCCCCCTCCAGGACCAATGCCAGCTCCTAATGGGCTCTGAAGCCACCCTGGGGACACAATGCAAGGCGCTGAGGACCGGGAGGGCTGGGCCTGTCCTGCTTTGGGTGCTGAGAGATGGTGGCATGAAGGGGCTTATTTGGAGCTGGGGTCAGCTGGATCATCCCTGCCTGCCCCTGCTGCTGTGTTGTCCCCTGCATGTCCAGTGCCACCTGCAGAGGAGGGCGAGGGGCTCCTCAATGCTTTCTCCTGGCACTGAGCCCCCAGCTGAAAGGGTGCTTTTTGCCAGGCTGCAAAGGAGAGGAGGGAGGAGGCTCCACACGCCCGGATGCCACGGTGATGGATACCACCATGACTCTGGCAACAGGTCTGGAAAAAGGGCCTGATCCTTCCTGCACTGACACCCATCTTGTTCAGAGGTTCAAGGGCTTCCCAAGAGCTCCTGGTACTGCAACCCAGAAGGGATCGAGCCCTGCGGCCCCGTCCCACCG